TTAGTAAAGAATTTAATACTGAAATTGAAAATTCCATCAGATTCATTAATAAAGGCAGCTTGTGTTAATTGAAAATTAGTTTAATTACTTTTATGTTATTTGAATTAAACCTTGAATATAATTATTAATTCTTGGCCACAGTTTGCCTTATGAAAATATTTTAGACGTTTTTATTATTGATGTCTGGGTTTTCAACAGTTAATGCAACAAAAATTAAAATTATTTGACATGCGATACTTCTAGCTTAGAATTTTTAATGCAAAGACGATAAATAAATTTAGATATAACGTTACAGTATCATTCAGTATTGCGATTGAAATTCTGTAGCTCATATTTTGGTTTATAAGTCTTCCTTATGAATGGATACTACAAATATTAAATTTAATTTTCTGTTGTGAAGCGTCATACTGCTGTGAAGCGTCATCTTCGTACTACTTTACTTCACTTGAAATAATTTATAATATATTCAGAAATAGTCATTTATAAGAAGAGATTAAGAACAACATACTCAAAGTTTATATTAAAGGAAATAGACCTCTTTCTACATATAGTTTATCCATTATTGTCTTTAAAAACCAGAGCTCGAATACTTTGCCATAATTGATTAGCCGGTATTCCAAATATTCTTCTAGCCATCTTGCTGTGTCTTGTGACTTATCTCACTTGTCTGACAGCAACATCAGAACAAGCCCATAAAATTAATCGTGGCAAGGAGTGCAAAATTGGGCCTGTCATTGGCAAGAGCCTTGAGTGCCATTCAGGCCACAGTAAGATTTCGCTCAGTTCCACCCCCCCATTTTGATGAAAAGCACCACAGGCGGGACGGGTCCGAGAATGTCTCACCCATGGAGGTAGGGAAGTAAGATGGAGTCGCCCTAAACAAGTTTCTCCGTACCCTGCTCTGAAGCACCGGCGATCCCTACGTGGTGACCAAAACATTGGGTCATTTACCATTGAGTTCTATGGGATTTGACGCGTTCGGGTGTAAATATTTTGTAATTACGTCGCAAATATACATATAAGTGTATATATTTTCTTTTTCTACAACACTTCAGAGTCCTAAGTATGTGAAAAACAACATATTTTTAAACAACATTTCATTCTGAACGGAATTAAATGCTATACTTTTCACAGGACAGTTTTCTCAGAATGGTTTAATTTGAATGAAATATTTTCACAAGTTTTCGTTAATTACATTAGAAAAAAAATTAAGGTAATTCGATTTCATTCGGTTAAGGTACAAAAATTAAGATCAAAGTTTATTGTATTATTAATATTAAAATTATGCATTATTTCTTTTCTATTTATAGAGCTTCTTCCTAAAATACTTTCTTAAATATGACATGATTTTTTGGCTTCTTTTAAATCGAAAAATGTAAGTCAATTTATAATTAATGCTCTATTCGGTTCATTTTAAATTAGAGAATTATTAGGAATTAGCGAAATACTTTAAATAAGTATTCCTAATAACTAATTCCTAATAACTAAATAGGTATTAAATAGTATTTGACTTTCTCTGAACATTTCTGAAAGGGAATGAAATAAGTTTTTTTTTTTTTTTTTTTTTTTTTTTTTTTTAAGTATTATTTAAAACTTGTAACTGAGTTATTATAAAATGTAAAGGGAATAATTCTTTTAATTATACTTATCAGATTTTTTTTTTTACCCTTCATTTCAACAATACATATTCCAAAACTCTTTATTACGTTCTTAAGTGCGCATCTCATAGCATTTGCTTTACAATACCTTTTAACAGATTGCTTTCCAATGCGAACAATTCTTGCTTAAATAGTTTTATAACGTATTTGTCAACAGGATTTCAATTTATGTTTACAATTCAATATTAAGGTTATTATATATTTAGATAACATTTATAATCATTATAAATTAGATACATTTAATCATTAGATTTCTTCACAGTACTTTCACAGTTGTTTATAAGTGAATAAATTTCTTCATTTCAAATACATTTATAAATAATTTAATGAATATTTAAGTATTTTGTCAAAGGCAGATACATGCTTTTTGCAAGCACATGCATAAATACCCATACATATTTCCTATTTATCATTTCCGGCATGTGCAAATCTTTAATTTCTGTGCATTCACTATATTTTTTCGTGTAAAGTAATTTACACTAATTTAGCATACACCCGAAGTTTTACATAAAAAATATATATGAATATAATTTGAATGAAAATTATAAGTATTATTTTTAATACCCACTCAAAAGTCAGTTTTTTTTTCAAAATTCCTCCACGATGGCATCTCTCTCTTTAGGCAGATAGCCCTTGCATTAATGCCTAATTACAAATATTTTAACATACATAATTTTATATTTACATTTAGCCATCAAGTTTCAAACTTTTCAAATCTTCTAGAAAATAAATTTTGGCAGATCTCTTTAGCAATTTTCCTGAAAATCTATATTTTTGTAGTGCAACTGCTTAGAATTTTATAAAACAAATTCATAATTCATCAAAATCGCTGTTATTAGTTATCGAAAAATAACCAGATGTGATTTTTGCGTAAATGTCAGTAAACTATACAAATTGCTATTATCCATCACACTATGAATGTTTCTTTCATGCGAGAGTGTCCCTTTTTCGATTTCTATGGAACTGTCGTGTGTCGAAATACTAGAATCTTGTCAAGCGAGCTTCTGAATGTAAACAAAGAACACCCCGTCTGGTGACCCAAGCTTCAAAGCAGTGCTTCACTTCTAGCGCGGAATGGCCCTTCCTCCCTTTCCTACCTCCATGGTCTCACCCCTCTTTCCCTATCACCAACCCCTCGAGAGGACTTCCGGCCCCCATGCCGCACGGACATTTACAAACATCCATACTTTCTCCGGGATTCGAACGAGGCCCTTCGGTAACTCAGTAGGCTCCCCTAACCACTATACCGGCTGCACGGCTCTCTTCTAGACATTAGATTCGCCACAGCATATAGAAGCACACACCAAAACTGAAGTTTTGAATAAATATGCATAAAAGGCAGGACATGCTGAATATGCATGTAATAAGCATTGCATGGCATGCGCACATTGCGTAAGAATACTGAAACCTTAAAGCAGTAAGAAAGACGGATTATAATGCCGATCTTTCATTCAGAAATCGTATTTTCTCTTATTTTTTAAGTTGCACATAATGCTACGCAACGTGTAAGATGAAGAAGTTTACACCAACGTATCTCAGAACTCAATCACCGGAGAATCTTAGTTTACCGCGAAGCTTGTGTTTGTCGAAATCCAACGATTCTAACGAGAATTTATATTTGATAGGTTTAGAAAGAACACTCAAAGCGATTTCCTGTATCTTTACAGCTTCAGACATCAGTATCAGACACCATAGACATCTTGCCCACAACACTCTTAGGTATCATACAGCTATATCCCGTAGCCTGAGTCAAGAAATTGTATTGCACAGCATCAAGTATCCACACGAATAGTAAGATGGGGTTTCTAAAGCAATGGATTACTATCAAGACAACCATTATGTGGTTTCTTTTGATGCCACAGAACGGGGCCCACCAGCGGCCGAGCGGTAAAGTCTCTGAACACTGGTAGTTCGGTTCGAGGTTCGAATCCCGCGAACGGGCTGGCTGCATGGGCGTTTTCCCCATGTGTAACGTGTATACGAGCCAGTTTTCCTTAGAAAGTCCTCCACGAAGGCATCCCTCCCCTTAGGCAGATAGCCCTCGAGGCTTTGCCATAATCACACACACACACACACACACACACGATGCCACAGAACAGGACACAGCATTTACAATTATGCGTTCGATTGCTTACATGTACGCACCAATGGCGTGAATGTACATGTACGCACCAATGACGCATTTTGCTTTTGATAAAACATCAGGATAGCCCTATTTTATTGGAGTTCATTATAACATTGTCAAGCACTTGGATTGCTGCTATGGTATGCCGAGGCATACACATTCCCTTCACCACTAATCCGTATATACAGTACTTCGGCCAGCTACCGTTATCTTGCTCAAAATTTAACACTTTTCGTTTGTAACATTTCTTCAAAGCCTCCGTGGCTTCTTTCCTTTTAGTGTTGCGCACTTTGCAGTACATTCCCTCGGCATTCGACTCCTGCTTGCCTGATCCATCCTTCCGCCAACTGAAAACGTGTGGCCAGTGATTGCAGCAAGTTCTGTCACAACAACGTTTTTCAGCCAATATGACAGATAAATTCTCCCAAAAATGGAAAGTTACATAAACTGCAGTACCCGAACGTGTATCCAAAGTCTGTTCGACGTCATGCCTATCCGTATAAAAAGTAACAATAGTACTTTTTATACGGATACTTTATACTTTTTACACAGAAGGGTATTCTCGAGATGCTGTTCTGTCTGTTCTCAAATTCAAAGTTACCTCTAATCTTAATTATTTCATTCTTCCATGATAATGTATTTGTCAAATGAATATAATTCTGATAATTACTTTCGTTCATGTTATAGCAGTTTTAATGGCCAGCAGTACATAAAAAAGGTAGAATTTAAAATACTTATTGTAATTTTAAACACTTATTGAAAGTAATAATCTGTAAGCCATAAATAGCCCAAAACTGCATCTTTTCTGATTTGTTTCCTTTACGCAATGAGATATTTTTGCAGTCGTAAATTTCACGAACATTTTTAGAGAGTTAACATAAAAAAATTGGATGATATCTTTTCTTGTACGTGATTAGTAGACTTATTACATTTCTTTGCTTGAAGTTAAAACAATTACTGAAGATGGAAAAACCGGATTTATAAGACATACGAGATACTTATCTTCTGCTGATTAAATTATGATCTAGTGCCAGCCTAACCGAAAACTTTAAACTATTGTTCAGAGAAATTACTTTTATTTTAAGTAAAATAATTCATCTCAATGCCAAAGACACATCGTATTTGACTCTAGAAATTACAAGGTGAAATATCGCCAGAAGGTATTCTTTAATCGCCCTTGAAAGTGAGATGCTCAGTGAGGAAATATTTTCTCTAATACCGTCATAAGTGACGTCACTCTTTCACAAATCAAATAGGATAAATACGGATGAGTTGAAATCTTTCATACAGTTTTGAAGTAGTTTCAAAAGCAGAAATTATGAAGCAAATTAGCGTATTGGTTGCTTTCTTATTAGTGCTTGGATGTGCATGTGAGTATGCTTTCGTTTCTTTACAAACCTTTAAGCCTTTATATTGTCTGTCGTGATAAAAAGGTGTTATTTTTGCATGAAATTGTGGAAGTTCACTTACTTCAGAGGTTATTATTAAACGTACTCAAATATGAATTAATTTATTGTTTTAATAAGAAACTTTTGGAATCTGATTGATAGTCATCATATTTTTAGAATAGAAATGTAGTAGTGATTAATGCTGATGAGTTGGATTTAAATTTAGATCCATAGATTATTAAATCTGGCGATTATAGCATTATAATTAAATGCAGTATAATTAAAAGAGATGGATAACATTAATAATGTGAAAATAGTAAGTCTTGGTTCATTTATTGATATAATTAATCTTTAATTCATTTCACGTTTTTGGAATATAAAAACGTATATTGATTAAAAATAATGCTGAATTTTCAGAAATACTAGAAGCGCAAAATTTTTATGAGGAAAATATTTTTTATACTTAAAAATTCATTTTTTATATTTAAAAATTAAACAATTACTTAAAATATCTTTTATACTAAGCAGCTCAATTTTTGTTATAACTGAACATCATTTTAATAAAAATTAATATAATATTTCAATTTGGTATCATCAGAAACACGTACACTGTTTACAATGTAAGATTATTATTTAAATTAATCAGTTATTTATAATTTCAGCTTTTTTATAACTTCTGCCGATTTTCCTCAACAGAAGGTAAATAAAACAGATAGTATTTAAACTTAGCTTTTTGTAGTTTTAAGCCAGAGCATTTTTTCTGGCAGCGCTTTTTGCTCGTTACGTTTAGTTTCTGTCACCTCTGATAATTATAATTGTTCGGCTTTGCGATATATTGCTGCTTTAATCTTTACACTCTGGTATAAATACTGAGCTTCGTGAAATATTAAATTGTGTAGTTTTTGGTTACTGTTCCACGTTTAATTAAAATTTAAATGTTCTGTTTAATTGCATAACCGCAAGCTGTGGCTGATATCGTTAGAACAAGAAAGGGTATTTATGTTCTAAAATATATTTAAATAAAAGGATTATTTAAACCTTCTCACGGCCCTGCAGTTATTTCAGAAAAAGCGATAATTCACTGATGGTTATCTCGCTAGTTACCATTTCCAGATCAAATACAACATAACCAAGCGATTCTTCCGTATCTGGGATACATATTGTACTCAATTAGAAAGTCCATCGTTAGTTACTCTGCTGATGTAAATATCTATAAAAATTACTAATCCCTGCATTATATAATACTATTAACAGTATTTATAGTTAATTTTAGTCATGTTTTGATAAATTTCTATTTAAAAAAAAAACAATGTTTTCAAATAGTTTCCTTATTATCCTGTTAAGCAATGAACTGTTATAAATTGAAACATTTAGATTTTACGTCTAGGAAGCACAACAGCTGTCAGGACAGGGCAATTTAGAATGCATTTTGAGCGATTAACGATGTAGTAATGTAAAATAACATACATAAAAGAAGGAAAAAGAAGTACCCTGACTGTAGACGTTTCTTTTAACAGAAAATAATTTAAATTATGTTTTCTTTAAATGCTTGAATGCTATCATTTTGTGTCTTCATCAGAATAAATTTTAGACATAGCAGATTAAATTAGCATCAGTTATGATGAAAACTGAAAATAAAAAAACTATTGTGTAGTTAAACAATTATGTAGTCAATGTCCTTATGAAGCTATATTACAAAACTATCAAATTATACGTCAACTCCCCTCTGCTTTCACGACTGGAAGAGAAAATAATGGGAGTTTTGGATATTTTGAATATTATTTACGAGCAACAAAATGTGCACTGTATCTATGAGAAATTAAATAAGAACCTTTTAATTAATTCCAAGATCTTGAGCTGAAAAAGATCAAGACCTGTGAAGAGCAACATATAATAAAACAAATTTCTTTAAAACTCACACTAGCAGTGATATGAACTGATAAAATTCTCAAAACTGTTTTGCAATAATTTATTAGTTTTTAGCAATGTTCAATTCTGTCCAAGCAGATAAAAATGAAAAGATTTTATGAGAAGTTGCTGAAACTTTTATAAGGTATTTCTCCCGCCCTCCTAGTGTGGCTTCGTGATGTAGTGGTCAGCACACTGAACCAGTATTTCAGAGGTCCGTGGTTCGATTCCCGGCAAAACAGATTGCTCATTTTTTATTTCTTCTGCTTCCGAAAACTCCTAATGTCTCCACACTTTATTAAAAAAAATTATGGTCCAATTAGATACTGCTTTATACTTCTGAAATTTCTAAAGAGCTCTATGAAATATTAATCCAACAAAGTTTCACAATGCGCTTTATCCAAAATCAGTTATGGTTTACATATTCTACTTAAACCATCAGTTTGGTTTCATTTATTTAATTATGGAAAAGCAAACAAGAGCTATTTTCTTAAAGGAAGGGATGCCTTCGTAGAGGGCTTTATATGGGAAACTGGATCATATACATGTTACACATAGGGAAAACTACGGAAACGCACATACAGCCAGCCCGTTCACCAGGATTCGTACCTCGGACTAAACTACGAGTGCTCACTGGATTTATTTCAAAACCTTTAGAAGTAGCAGACATTATATCCGATACCTGTGAAACTTCCCAACCCAAAAGCCTATATGATCACTAAATTTCAAGAATAAGTATTTTAATTGTAGATTGTTTAAATAGTTTCATATAATTTTTACTAGTTTTTCTTTAAATTCTTTTCATGGATGGAGATAAATAAATATACGCTTTATATGTTGTGTAATAAAGCTTTCTAATATTGGTGTATTTATAACTTTGGCAAAGGGATTTTAAGTATATCATAAAGAATAAAAAAAATTTTAAATTGAAGTTTTCCAGGTAAGTATTACCGATGCAGAAATTTGATCGAGGAATATTACATTATGAGTGTGTTTACGAGTTCAGAAGGAGTAATCGTCATTTTTATTTTCCAGAAAGTCTAAAAGTTTCTTCAGAATTTTAATATTAAATCACTCAGAAAAATTAGAAGATACCGCCGGTTTTGGATGTTATCTTTACTCTATTTACAGAAAAGCATTAGAAAACTATTCGCTTATGACTATTTCTTCAATAAGAAACCCAAGTTTTTAGTAATTTTTCTGATATATGCTATATCTTGCTGATATATGATAATGCTGAGAAAACATTCTAATGCCTCAGGAAAAGCTTATCAACAGTGACCTAGAATTTGGTCAAAAATTTTGAAGCTGCATTACTCTCCTGTATAACGTAAAGTACTTTAAATTTTAAAAACTTGGTTGTTTTCTTTTATTTATTTATTTATTTGGAAAACAAAATTTTTTTGTTGTGGTGAAAAGAGATTCTGAACATGTATTCATGATACCAAATACGTAATATATGGTGTTAAAATATGTTTTATTAATTAGAATAATATACTTCCATTTATATCACTTAGCTATATATAAAAAATATAATGAAGATTTAAATTATTTGCAATTCATTTAATACTTCTATATTTCTCATTTTGCCGAACAGTTATAATCAATTAAACTTCGAAAGAAAAATTTAAAATATTACATTTTGCTGATTGACGACACTTATTAAATGTTATTAACGTGAAATGTGGAAACGGAGAAAAAAGTATTTTACGTTTCGTGCAGTGTCAACGTTAACCAAGTCGCGAGGATGTTATGTTCTAGGAGCATTACGTAATAGTACATAGCAGTATCAAAATTTTGGAAAGACTCCACTAAAGACGTTTCTAACGTCAAACAATTGTCGAAACACTTATTGCTTTTATAATTGTGTGAGTCTAAGCAATCCATTTGAATCTAGAGGGATCAAAGCAAAAAAATAAAAAAACTTTTATACAGTTTGTAGAACATATAAAGACATAAAATCTTTTGATTAATCATAACTAGAATTAAAGATCGTCTTTATACCTACAAAAAAATTTTTATTCTTAATTTGAAAAGTATTCTTTTACAGATGCATTCTTCCAAAGCAATAAGTTTTTGCTTCTTAAAATACATTTTAAGTTTCGCAACTTTCTTCTTTATTTTAGCTGCCATTCGACCTGGAGATATACAGTGCTCTCCTCCCAATTGTCCTCCAGGGTGTTCCATTCAGAGAGTTTACAGCGGACCTTGTCCCGGATGCGAATGCGGAAATACGAGTTTGTATAATTTTCGTTTAATTCATTCATGTATTTATTTACTTTAAATTTTATTTTCTCTATGTAACTATTTGCGGGATTTCGAAAGATTACAGTAAAATTAACTGTAAAAAATATAACCAAAAGATGATATCAGTACTTAAAGCTACCTCGGTAAGTTTCCGTCCATGAGAGGCCGCGTCATGTAATTCTACATTTAGACGCTAAGTCCATCCTTTTTTAATGGGAAATCCTGGTGGGCTTTGTATATAACCTCGACAAGCTGAAATTGGGTTACTATCACTAATGTAGGAAGACAGCAAGGATTTTATTCTTTTTCAACATTTTTATCTTCAATTCGTGATGACGTTCACATTCGGGGCCGAAATTTCTGGTTTTTGAATTAGACATGTTGAAGTGTTTTAGGTTTTCCTTGTTGCCACAATGATATAAGAACACAGGAGGAATATAAACTATCATCCCTTATTTGTTGCCTTTAGACTTCAGGTTACATAAAGCTCTCACCATACCATTTACCATCGTAGAAGACGTAGAATTTACTCCCACTTGACATCACTCTTAGCGGCCTATTTTGCTCTCATCATCTCCTTCACCACGAGTTCTGCACTCATTCAATGGCTTAGTTCTCCGCATCCATATAGGAGTAAAATATCTTGATGTAACCAACAAAACATGTTCTCGAAATGAGTCGCCACTTCTTCACACTAACCTAACACAAGCAGATTTTCCTTGGTGATTTATATCAAAGATCGTGGGCTTGTGCCCGCTCTACCACACTGTTTCACGCAAATTGAGAGAACGAATCATACATGCAATTCGATTTTATTGATAATGGAAAGTGATAATGGAAAGTAGCAGGAGTCTGAATTCAGAATTTATATCTGCTTCATTATCAAGGATGCATTTGAAGAGAATCCTTATATAATGATATGCAGCTCTTGATTACATTTCTGATCGTTAATGTAATAGTCTCTCCAAATACTAGAGGGAATTAGGAAACATCTTATATAATAGTATGCTTGTGTTAATCATCATTAGTCTTAATTCTATTCTGTATGTATGCTACAAATGAAACCCCATTGTATTCAAAATAGCAAAGTTCCGCTTTGGTAAATGGGTGAACATTTTCAACACAAGAAAATTTTTCATTTTTTAGTCTTTTGTATTCATTGCATAAAAATCAGTTTTTTTAATTATGTTGTAAGGAAAAGTAATATTATATTTAAGGAGTATTTTGTTTTACAACATTCCGCTAATAAAAATAACTTTCAAAGGAATCCTTTAAGATAAAAATAAAGAATGTGCAATATAAAAGTTATTAATGGAGGAATATTATAGGTTTATTTTGTTTGATCTTAGAAATCAAATTCAAATTATAAAGTTTATTCAAGCAAGACAGAAAGATTTATGAACGCAATTTCCACATGTTTAGGTGAAAAGGCTTTGTAAAAATAAAATTTGTTTACATCGGTTCTGTAAAGTAAAATTCTTATCTAATAAAATGTATCATACATTTAAATGAGAAATTTTAGTAAGTATTCAACAAAGAAATTACTCATGTACTTCAGTTTCTCATGCTTACAAATTTCAAATGTTGTAATCCAAAACATTTAAGAACAAACTTAGGGTACACTTACAAAACAAAGCTTCTATTTTTACAATTAATAATTCGGTCACGGATAAAATAGAATTTTTTACTGAATTTATAGACAGTTTCTTGAAATGATTCCCTAAGCACATATCTGCAAATTTTAAACGTTTTCATAGGACCCTTATGTGTATTATACTGCAACGTTATTTCAGGATAGCGAAACGAAGCTTTCAAAAATTGAAATCTTTTTATTAAAATTTTAAGTATCTTTACTTTATTCCGCATTTTCTCAGTTTGTGCAAGGAACCTAGAAGTTTGATTTTACACTGTAAAGTCATAATGTTGTTTGGAAGCAGGAGACATGAAAAATATGCAGTGTCCTCACCAGGACTCGAACTTGGACTTCTCGAATACGTTCTAAGAATGCTTCCAATTATACCACTAAGGCATGCGTATATGCGTATAGGAGAGAGAAAATTCTTTATATACTACCCCTTTTAAAGGGTGACTAGGGATTAGGGGACCCAATCGCCAAACACTGTGATAACGAATTATCTTCCACCACCTTTTAGTTCGGACGTCACCGTAGAATCATTAGGTTATTGTGAATCAGGAGACATGAAAAATATGCAGTGACCTCACCGAGACTCGAACTTGGAGCTGTCTGATATGGCTGAATGTGACACCGTTACACCACGAAGGCATACTGGAAAGGAGGAGAAAATACCTTATATAATCCCCTTACCTTATATATAGCACTTTTTTGTTCATTTAAATCTTCATGTCCTACCAATGCTCTTGATATTTAACTAGAGATATAGATGACGGATTAATGAAAATAAAAATGACTCAAAAGTATGACACGCTGAATATACAACTGCGGTATTGACTAAGGTGCAGATGTCAGCGACTGAGAAGAAGCGGATTTTTGATATGGGTAAAAGAGGAAGTAATAAATAATATATTCATTGATAAACAGGTAATAATGTTTGCTAGGAAATAGAATTTTTGCAGAATAAAAATATTTGTTGCATGTATTTTTTATTTTAGAACCTTTATTTCCTTAGGATAGTTTTTGCTGATGGTGCTATTTAAAGGATTTGCCTTGAGCGTCAAAGAAATACGGGCTATCAAAAATGCATTTGCAGATTCTTTTTGATCACACAGAATTTATTGATACAGAAAATCGTTAGCCAGTTGTACCATCTTTTATTCACTGAATATCACTAAATATTTGGAAAGAAATTCATTTTTAACACTCATTTTTGAACTCTTCAGTACAAATTCGATTAATAGAACACATATTCTGTCATTTTACGTGAACAAAAAAAAAAAAAAATTCTTTACTTACCTTCAGAAGAGTTGCACAGAATATTAGATAAGACTTAATAAGCATTAGATATAAATGTTTACTCGTGTTAATTCAAATGTCAATGTAAGGAAATTCAGCCTAAGTTTTCCACCTATACTAAGCCTTAGGCTTAAGGTAGGCTTTCGTTTAGGCTTTCGGTTTTTTAACCTAAGGATCAAACACGACAGAAATTCGTACAAGGGGTAAGTATATATACATTACATTCAGTATACCTTTAGCACAACACACGAAGATAAACGGAATATACAAACATGTCAATGCGTTTAACTTCAACACGCGCATAAATTTTTTTATAAACATTAGAGAAAATCTGCGCATTTCGAGAAGTTTCAGTGAACCAAAGTTCAAATTAAACTGGCTGTTAAAAAATAAAAATGTATGCGTAGCTTTGGATTGTCTCTAAGAATTTTGAGATCTTAGAAGGCTTCTGAACATACACTGTTCTTTTATAAACCCGTTCATTACTTCTTTAGATTTATCTACTTACACCTTTACGACTTTTTTTCTTAAGTTCAAGCCTCTAATTAAGCAAAATGGAACTAAACGCTTGAGTTTTAAGCGAAAAGCCCAAATTTCTCCATATTACTGCTCTTTGGATAAGAGTGAAACTACATCAGCCTGATAATTAATATTAACACTTTTCAGTGGAACATATGCAGCAGAATTATCTAAACGTAACAGTAATAATTCAGATTCAAGCTGAAGCCAGAAACTATTTTCAGGATAGAATTTTTTTACAATTTATATGCAGAACAATTTGTATACAACTTTTGAGCAGGCTAGTGTTAAGGTCTGTATTTTCGTGGACAGTTTCTTTGAATTTATATTCAAGTTTAAGTGATAATGGATAGTTTTGTTAACAAATAAATGAATAGGTGAACGTGATTGAGCTTGGGTTATTCATCATGCATATTAACAGATACTTAAAGAGCTTTAAAGTTATGGTTTATAATATATTTTCCTCTTTTAGGATCTAACCTTCCTACAGGAGTGCAATGCTCCCCACCCAACTGTCCCCCAGGATGTACGATCGAAACAGTATACAGTGGACCTTGTCCTGGCTGTAAATGTGGTGGTGGCAGTGGCAATGGTAAGTTTATGTAATTTACACACAAGGTGCAAAAATTATTTATAGTTAAAAGTAATAGCACAATTTGGATAATACAAATAATAGCAGAGTTTGAAGTATATATGAATAGTATACGTATATAGTATTGATGAATTTATAACATGCCTTTAAATTTAATGCAAACTTTAGGTAAAAGTAAGATAATAATACTTCAAGCATGAAATTATTCTGTCGATGAAATAATTTCCTCCTTAAATCTAAGGAACTAAGACGTGTGCTACATTCTATCGAAAGGTTAGAAATCTTCTCTAAAACTAATGATATATGAAATTGAAGCTTGTGAAATTCTGGTGTGTTCAAGATCATATCTTGTAATTTAGTTAATTGCCTATTTGAATTGTTATCACATTTATCCTAAATATGTCCTCTAAATTTGGAGCACTACGTCAAACTAAATCAGAAACATTTCATGAACTTTAAATCAAATCAAATAAATCGAATATAATATTTCTGATACGTGACAAGTAATGAGATAGGATGTTTTTGCTTTAGCTTATTACTAAAGAATTCAATATATGTCGATAAAATACACTAGACTTTCTGCCTAAAGAGAGGTATGACTTTGTCGAGGGCTTTCTATGTGGAACTGGATCGTACTCACGTTTTACATTCATTCTTTTCACGTTCACTAATGCAACTATGTCTTGATCTAAGATTCAGAACTAGATCCAATTATATGTATGTTCAGAACGTCTTATCCACTCAACCGATGGCATGTTAATTTGCTTTTTAAAACAAGTTCATATGCTAGTTATTGCTTTTCAATAAAAAAATAAAAAATAAAGTGTTTTCTAAATAAAAGAGTTTGCATTTGAATTAGAGTTATGCATGCCGAAAATACAGCAGTTGTGGTAATCTTATCTTTGATTACTGGAAATTGCAACTGACTACTCCTTTTGAGATTTTACAGATATTTATCACTTTTCATTCTATTAATGTATTGGTACTTTTAATAATAAAAAATTTAACAAAGAAACGCAGTAATATTAGAACCTGGAATAAAACACTTTAAAATCAACTTAAGCTTTACTTAACTTTAAACACATACTTCTGATATTTAACGTAGGTTATATTTTAGCCAGGCTTCAACATCCTAGCTTAAAAATTGCAGCTTTGATCCAGTGGAAGTTCCTTTTTGCACACACGAGTGTCACGTTTGAACAATATAATATATTTTGCTTAATCAATATTAAGGAATTCATCCTGGAATAAATGCATTACTTCAAGATTTTACCAATAATTATATACTTCAGATTATTAGAAACTTTTGCAAATAGTCTGTTTAGATAGAATAACATCAAGATCAATTGTAAGGTCACATATGCGAATAATTCTACTTTGAATAAATTTTTTTGCAAAGTAAATCCTTAATACATAAGCTAATAAGTACATTGTAAGCTCTCTTAGGGACAAAAATGGCACCGAAATCAATTTGCATTTGTAAAATTGCCAAAAGTCTGCACGTATACTGTGCATTTTTTAACTATATATCGGATTACTCTTCGCACGAAAATATACATTTATCAGGAAGTCACAGTCATTTATAATATATTTTATTCTGAAGGAGAAGAATAAAATATATTATAAATGACTGTGGACTTCACAATATATAATCATATTATAAATGACTGTGAACAATAAATATATTATCAATGACTGTGGACTTCACAAAAGAAGAATAAAATATATTATAAATGACTGTGGAAGGAGATGCCAGTATCTCCACAGGAGAAGTCATAGTTAATTGTGTTACGTAGTGTAATAAGATTTGAGGAGAAGTTCAGAACGACCCTTAGTCAGGCAATGCTGTTGTACGAATCACACGAATTATCATCTGCGTTTACTGATCAGGAGCTTAGTTATAAAACAAGAAGCATTTAAAAGCGTGATATCTTCAACATTCCACTGTGCCTTTGTCGCAAAGGTATCTTTGTCTTGCTATGTCTATATGCTAGCTTTTAAGCACAACAAAAGAGGAACATTTTAATCCTTTAAAAACTGACTTACGTGTTCTCGAAACCGAAATGTCTCGCCTCAGTATCACATCCTCTGCCTTAAAACATAATTATTCTCTGATAATCGATATTTACTTCCATTTTTTTATTTCCTGTAGGAAATAAAGGCAGAATATCTTAAAATCACTTCTGCATCCTCTTCTTTCTAATACCTGTAGCTTCAGATGGTTTTCACTGAATGCTTTTATCGGGTTGCAACTGGAATGTTGCATATCAGCAAGAATTTCCTATCATATTCTTTTTAGATAATTCTTTGCTTGTTTATTTCATAAAACGTTAATAAGAAATAATGATATGCTGTCAAATATATCAATTTCTTCGGCGGTTTGTGTAATTTTTAATATTGTACGTAAAGTGATATTGCGTGCGGAATAAATATAAGTTACATAATGTAATTCTGAGGAAATGTATTATCGTAATCTAAAACCTTTTCTCTCAAATACGCGTCATTCTTAGCCATATATAAGTAAGTAGAAAAGAACCCAATAAATAGGAAAACTCATTGCATGCTTCTTATGTTCACCAGTTTCATTATAAGCATACTCTGTAATATTACGTATGATTTTTTCTTCTCTGCATTCATAAATTATTATTATTATTTATTTATTATTAAATTTGATTTACAACTCATGAATTGAGGTTCAGTCACAAATAACTTTCAATATCCCGTTCCTTATAAACGTTAAGAAACTTAAAATCGATTATTATTATAAAATAATTCTGAACATTAAAACACTTGCTAATTTAATCCCATATAAAATAATTCTAATCAGACAATAGTAGTTAAAATTAACTCCCATATGAAAACCAATGATTCTCCTGCCAAAATCTCGGCCTGAAAAACAGGCTTGAATCATTCATATTTTATATCTGTTCCTTATGGGAGTAGTTATAAATACTAAATGTAGTTTATAGCTTACCTTTACTTAATAGCTATATAATGAACTATAATGCACAATATAAAGTTCAGGATATATCTCTTCAGTACCGGTCCTCTATCGTCCATACGGTTAGGCTGGTCCACTATCATCCATGCAATCAGACAGCCTTAGTCAGGCTGCGAAAATAGCCACTGGAATTGCCTCCTTTGTAACAACAGTCTTTGTAAAGCAACAAATATAATTCATTCATTTTACTCGTTTTAGAAATGGCAAATAAAATCGTTACGATTTTAAACGCTTCCCGGCACATAGCGTTGCTTTGCTCTTCCGACCGAGAAACATTAATTTCGGCCGCTGAACGAAACGCATAAAAAAGCGTTTAGAAGTCAGTCTGACTTGTTCGCCATTTAAATGAATTTCGTTTCGATTTTCCTTTGTGGGAAGCACCCTGAGAGTCAAAATACAGCCAAGGTTTTATCGCTTTCTACCCGAGAAGTAAACGACAAAGTTCTCTAAATGTGTTCTGTCCTTTCTCTATATCTTCTATATATGTTCGCAGCAAAAATTCTGTTTTTGTAGCTATTGCACTCCCTTTTCTTGGAGAGATCTTCTCAGCAGCAGTCCTCTTTTTTTTTTGGATCCGTAAAAGTTAAAACTTCATCACCTTTTCTGACTACACCAACTTGTAAATCCTCGGTTTTTATACCAGGAATCCTCCCCGTTTAACAATTAGTTCATTTAGAAAATTAAAAATTTATCTGTAATCATTTTCTTACTAAAACAGAACGATAAATTGGAAAGATTTTCCACGAAAAGACTTCTAATCTTCCCAAGAAAAAGTCTGTGTGTTAACTGAAAGAATTTTAACAAATTAAATTCTTATTTTCACACCCATAAAATGGTAAATTATCATATTTTTTATTGATCAGGAAGAAAGGCCTTTTGTGGAACTCTTCTTTAGGGCACTTTTAAGGAACCCCTTATGAGCTGACCATTTCAGTAAACTACTCCGATAAAAGCTATTATCCAACACTTCGCAATACAGTTGCAAATGATATATTCCGTCTTGTCTTTCTTTCAGCCTTATCCTAAACTCCAAATATGTTACAAAAATAACGAAATTAAGAAACTAAAGACTTCGATGAATCCATAATTAATTTAAATTCCTTAATAATTTATATATTAATAGTCTTAATAATATTTAATATTAATGTTCTTTTGAATTTCTATCAGTTATGCATTGTTTATGACAGTTTTTAGGCTTACAAAAGATACTTTTTCTTTTAAGGTCGCAACCCTTACCAGGGCGTGATGTGCTCTCCACCAAGATGTCCTCCCGGCTGCACCATCCAACAAGTATACGATGGTCCTTGCCCAGGTTGTGATTGTAAGAAAAGACAGGGATAATAAATTCTAAAGACAAAATCTACCTTAAGGGAAATAACTGCATTTCAATGCACTAAATATCTTTGCTACATTTTCTTTTTGTTACAACTTGCTTTTATTAAACATCTTTTCTATTATTTTGTGTCTCTTTTTTTTATCATGACATGCAATTGTAACAAGGATAAAAGAGATTAAATATGGAAGAGTTTCATCTTATTTCGTAATAATTCTCTTTTGTCCTGCTAAGTATCACAAATCAACAATAAACAGTCATACAAGCTGATATTAAAAACGATATGCATCGTTAATTCAGATGACACCTATAATATGTAAAACTATATAACGGTATAATTCTAAGTATCGAATTCCACTAGTTTTATTGCGGAAAATTTCACAAATAAATACAGAAGTGGAGTAGTTGCTGTAGAAAATATAATCACTGTATTGGAATATAATCTTATCAGTTCTTCACTGTTTCTGATAAAATTGGTAGTTCCGTATAAAGACATCTTCATTATTAGCTTTGCGCAGAATACAGGAAAAAGCATATACAGTAATGTGTGTGCTTGATTTAAAGTTTTAAAAAAGCTAAGAAATGCACTTTGTCAGCGTAAATCCGAACAAGAAAGATTAAGTTGAAAATTTTTGTGAAAATAAGAAATCCTAACAAAAAAGGTTTCCAGATCTTAAATGACAAACATTTCTAACAATTTATATATCTAGGTATAATTGGCAATAAAATAATTTCATTACTGAAATGATATTTATAAACAGTTAGAAATGTAAAAGTATCTCTATTGGCATTACAGTACAGTTATGCTTTCCAAAATCAATGTTTACATCCATATGAATTTCACTCTTGGTATGGATTATTAATGCGTTTAACATGCTTATTTTCAATCAGCGTTTGCATACCTTTACAAAGCCATTTATTTAAAGATACATAGCTTTGTCATCAATACATACTAACATATATAAAAGGCTTAGTTAAACTGAAGAAAATTTAATCTTAGAAACGTGAAACCAAGAATACTTTTATTTTACAATAATGCCTCATATTACCTTCGTATTTAAATAATATAAATTATACACTTTACTTGGGATAATATGGGTGAGATATATAATACAGAAGAAACTCCATGAAAACTCGATCACACATGTACCCTACACCTATATATACCTAAATACACGTTTGATATATGCAAGTGAATGCTCTGTCTGTAACGTTCTGTTAATTATTTTTATTAATATCAACAATAATTGCACAAAATTAGTATATTCTTAAATTCCAAAATTTACATTTCTTTATATATCGAGCTATAAATTACAAATAAAATATATTCATTATTCATACCTAATGCATACATATACATATGCAGATTTACATATGCAGTCTATGTTTTTTTTTTATTCAGCCTAGTTCTTAGCTTTGCTATAAACAACCCGACAGCAGAAAGTGCCCTCTCAATTTCAGGTGATATTGAAGAAAGTGTTTTCAAAGCCTCACCCAAAGTTATAATATTTAATGATCGTTTTACAGTTGGGTCAAATAACTGCCATTCTTGCTTCAGTATCTTGCTCAAAGTAGATTTCTCGCTAGATAACAACGTAACACCTTTGCCTTTGAGTAGATGGCTTCTACTAATTTTCGCCTAAAGATTTCTCTTCCAAAGTTTCCATGCTATCTTTTTCTAAATGCAAAATGTTGAACGGTTATTCGTCTTCTTCGCAAAAAAGGTCGTGTCATAATTAATTTTAACTAGTTGAGTCACTGGTAAACGTGAAAGATTTACAGTTACTGCAGTGGCATCATCCCAAAATTTAGATATTGCATTAAGTTAACTAAACTAATACTGTGCATTTTACTAATTTTATGGACAAAAGAATATTTCACATTCTTAAAACATTCTGAGTTTTGTTGCTTCACTTCTCCAGTAATGAAAGCAAGTACTCCTTTAGCAGTCAACAAAGTCGCGTGTCGACTGCATAGTTTTTCTAGGTCAATTTTCACTTGCATCAAGCCTGCTACAGTAGCAGTCAGAGTTTCTAATTCTATATCAGCCAAAACTTATTGTTCTTTGATATCAATTATTGCTTTTGAAATTCTTATTTTATATCTATAAATCTTTGAAGTATTTCCAACTAATTATTTTAGCTTATGTGATGTCTAAACAAACCATCTATTCACAGCCAAATTCAGCTTTGGCATAATTTTGTAAAATACCATCCTTGAGAAGTGATTTTCTAAATAATTTAACAACACTTCTTATCTTTTCATATTTTTATTTATGTTAGTCGTAGAATTTTTTTTTCGTAAGCAATGTGAAACGTAGCATCTGTTGCTATATCGTTTTCAAATTCAAAATCTAACACCCTTTTTCTAAATCTTCAATTAGTTCTTCACTTTCTTTAGAATCTTCTCTTTCTTCTTCATATGATATATTTTATATCTGAACAGTGATTTCTTCCAAATTACTCTTATTAAAGGAGATTTTCTTATTAAGAAGAAAACACACGGCGAGGTCTCCTGCACAGGACTCGCAACTCATTATTTATCCAAACTCAACCATCATCACTATCAGTAACACACGAAACTATATGCTTTTCTGAATGCTTTTAGTTAAACCGCTGCTGCTTTAAAACGATTTCCTTCTGAAATTTATCCACTAATTCTTAACATTCCTAAATTAAAGAATATACATTCTGTAAAATGAAATTTTATGTTACAATATCGTCTATTTTTAAAAAGTATACTCATCAAGCGTCAAGCTACAATATAGTCCTGAATTTAACTTTTAAGAGTCAAGCTACAACGTAATATTGCGTTAAGCTGAAAAATCTGGGAAATTTCATTTGTAACCTGAGGTTTAATCAAATTATATTGTTTATGGATAAGCCCCATAATACGGCATTTTGAGATATGTAGCCATCTCATTTTATTATACTTTATAATTTTATGTATTTACGCGTTTGTATCCAGGAATTTACAGGACCCAAGTATAATTCCCCAGGAATACAAAATGTGTGAAAATGTTACGAACCTTAGACACTACACACCTCCTCTCTTAAATGGTGAAGACCTTTACAGTTTGCGTGAACCCATTTGTGAATCACTGATACAGTCGAAATGAGTAATTTGGATATAAAATTCGAATGGAAGTGTGCCTGAAATCGTTTGCATTTTGTATTTGTCCCCTCTTTTTTTTTAAAGACATTTTAGAGCTTTTACAATTTCATTTTTAATCAGTAATTGTTATGGAAAAAATGTCATTTTTTATTTAACCATTTTAAAACCACTTGGTATTTTGAAGCATTTTGATTAATATTTTCCAATTTTAAATTACGTAATCTCCATTCACTGAAAAATTTTTATATAAATTACGTAAGCTCGTAAAAATTACTTCTTCATTCACTTTTGATTCTGAGGAATAATTGGCGAAAAATGAATGCATTGAATTTAGATTACTGAAAAACCACAACTAGTAAGTGAATCTTTAAATAAATGAATAATGATCATTGGTTTGGAAGTTTTATCAGAATTATATAGTTTCAAAAACCATGAAACTGAGAAAATTTCAGATTACATCTACTATAAGCAGAGTTCATTAGAAATACACTTAATTTTCCGGACCATCTAAATCCATCGTATATAAACTTGTAAGTTACGTTAAAAATTTTTATAACATTGTTAGGTATTGTTGCTAGTGATAAAATAGGTTTCAGGAAGGGTAAAGTAATAAGAAAACAATTTATTTGGGCAATAAAGGAACCAAACATGGTTATCCTGTCTATGAAACATGAATAAAGAAATCGAGTGAATTTGGGGGGGGGGAACTGAAAGTTTCAGATTTTATATTACACCTAAAGGCGCTTTTTTTTTTTTTTTTTTCTCTTTTACATACACATACACGTTTCAACAGCATTTAGGCTAATGATTGAAACTTTTAATCAAAAATTAAAGTTTTACAAAATATGAAATACACAATAAAATATTTAAAAACAGTCTATCTTTAGAACTTTCGATAGACAGCCTCGCGCGCTGGAGATAATTTTTTTTTCGTACAGTGTTGCCATTACTCTCTTTGAAATTTGAAATCGTTGAGTTTGTTTATCAAACATTCGTTCAAGTTTTACAAAATATGAAGTCGACAGTAAAACAAATTCTCAATTCGGACTTTCAGGTGTCCATATTCGGGTGGTGAACTACGTTATTGAAAATTTGGTGACTCTAGGTACCTTTGTTTTTTCATAATGCAAAAAACATACATATATTCATGCAGATTCTTCATTATTTAATTTCTTTAAATATTATATAGGGCGATAATAGTTGGTGGCAACAATTTAAAAAATAATAAGTCGTTTATGGTGAATCAAGTATAATTCCCAAGATGGCTTACGTTCCTTTGGGATACGAAATGTTGATGATTTTTCCTAAATTTATCTGGTGTTTTAATTAAGTTATCGAAAATGTATTTTCAATGTTTATAAATGTTTTCATGAATTATTTTATTGCATGTAAAAAATATGATTACTGTAAGATAACAATAATATAAAACAATTACATATTTTGCATATTGAATATAAAAGGCTATAGGAATAATTAAAGTACATATGACAGCATATATTTACCGCCTTGCCTCAGGTGATAAAATATCCAGGCTACATGCAAAGTCGGCTACAAAGTCAAATAGGCAGCTATTCCGAAACGATGTAAACCTTTCATGTAAGTAAACGAAATGTTTCTTTCATTCTCTAGATTGAATTTTGAATTTAATGAAAATTTAATTTTTAAGCCACCCTGCTTAATACCAGCACATTAAGCAACCTCTAGAAGAAAATACTGTTGAGGCTTAAATGCATTAATATAAAAAATAGTGAAAAAATGGGATATTTTTGATTTTTTTATCATAATAAAAGAAAATATTTTTCGATGATTCTTTCCAGAGAAACGAAATTCATTAATTGCTGTTTGAGGAAGAGTAAAAACTTTTTTGACTGAAACTCTCATTGATTTTTCACATATTTTATATCCAAACAGATTCATAACATCTTAGCTAGTTATCTGAACTACATTTAAAACTGATTTTTTTAAACATTTCCTTTCTGAATATTTCTTCCTTTAATATTCCTGAAAACGAATAAGCTCTTTTTTATTTATGCTGGGGACCGTTATTCTTCTATTATCAACCTAGAAATTCTATACGGCTCGTATATACGTTACAAGCAAGGAAAATCACGAAAACGAACATGCAGCCAGCCTGTTTGTGAGATTCGAACCTCGGACCGAACTACCAGTGTTCAGCGACTTTACCGCTCGGCTGCTGATGGGCCAGTGAGAAAAAAGAGACTCAACAAAACCTAAATTAACATACAACAGCAACAAAACAAGAAGCAAACAGAAGTGAAGACAAAAAACTGTATGGCTTGAAAAATCATTTTTCAAAATTGTGATATACCTATATGGGCAACACATTTACTTGGATTACAAAAGATTGAATAAATACAAAACGAAACTAGACATATATTTAGTAAATACGTCGAAACTAACTGTTACTAAAGCTTTGTTATAAAAGCATCAAACTAACTATTCCAAAGTGTTTTTTTTAAAAAAATGACAAAACACTTATACCTAGTTATTATGTACTCTCAAGTAGAAATTAAACATAAAATTGCATAAATGTAAAAAAAAAATCTTAAATTGCAATAAAATCAAATCTCAGCTAGGACATAAAAACCATGAAATACAGATAAAATCTGCATAGTCTAGGGAAAAGACTTACAAATCTTCAATCATATTGTTATCATCTTGGAAATATCAATATAATTAGTATCTACTTACCTTTCTATGAAAGCGCAAATAAAACTCAAAGCATTCAAAGAAATCAAATTTGTAACTCAAACTTTGAACAAGTTAATAAACTTATATCTCTGTGTAAATTAATTATCTGTATTTGTAGATTTTTGGGGGCATTAGTCATGTTCCTTTTTAACGGTAAGGAAAATGATTAAACTTTTTAACGTATTCTTCAAATTTTCGTTAAAGTACTTAATGACGTTATAACGCTAATTAATTTATGGGAAATGTAGTCACGGGATATGTGAAATTGTGGGGCAGATTCCGGCTTACGGGCTGCCAGTTTAAGACCACTGTCTTACAGGATTACTTTACTGAATTCGTCAGCAGTTCATGGCTTACATTTAAAGATTTCGTATGGCCTTACCCATAGGAAGAACTTGGAATATCAGCTTATAGGGAGAGTGCAAAGAAGGGCGACAGGAGGTGCTGTGGAAAGGTTCCTAAGTCTTATTATCAGTGCTTTTGAATGTAACATTGAAGTAGCGTCCTGTAAGGTTATAGACAGGAAAATTTCATTGTCGATGACAAACGCATATCGTGCTCCTGTCTGTAAAACAAAAATTTAACTTTGCCGTGTTTGATATTTCCTTTTCTTACCGTAAAAGTTTTTCTTGACCATGTGAAAATAAACAATAAATTCGCACTCTAAAAACATTCAGATCAATGTAAGGAGTGAGAAAACTTTTATTTATTATATTATAGCTTATATTACATGTATTTACATTATGTGATTACATATACATCACTCAGTTCTTATACACAAAATAAGAAGTAGAAGCAAATATTGCATGCCTTCACTTGTTACAGAACTAGGTACCTAATAAATTGTTCTCGAAAATTGTTATTCATCAGGAAAGTCTGCAGTTAAATTGAAGAAATTGTTAGAATGAAATACAAACTGGAAGCAGAACACACACATGACGTTTATAAGAATTTTAGGAAAACATTGCTTTCAAATTTTCACACAATTCATAAGCTCTAAAGCATACACTATATTTTCGAGATTTGAAAAACCTCAGTGTATACGGAATTGCATCGAATGAAATCGTTTCAGGAGCAAATGTGTACAATCTGATAATTAACTACAAATTTACCTCTTTTTTGTACATTTTATCACATAAAGCCGATTTTGATTTCAAGTCAGAATCATGTTTTATATAAATATAAATACTGTTCTTTTTACAAAATTATTTCAGTGACGCACATAAGTTTGTCCTGAAATAAGTTACAATACTGAAAAATTAAATAATTACTTTCCCAGTACAGGAATTATAACTAAAATTGTTTATACAATTTCTCAATCAAATACCTTTCTTAATGTTTCATATACAAATGATATCTAAATACGTTTATACATATATACCGATGCAAAGTTTTAAATATACATTGCAATGACATAAACAAATGGCAAAACTGGAACTCTTTGGAAAAGAAACTTTCCTTATAAAACATGGATAGCATGAGATGACAAGGCAACTTGTAAGAAGGCTGCCTGTAAAAGTAAGTGCAGTTTTTTTTTTATAAATAAATACGAATAGTGATGTCTCTCTTTTCTACATCAGTAAGAAAAATATGAGAGACTATATTAATAAATATATGACTAGATATATCTCTTTCTGTAAGCGCGCACTTTAACAATATCTTCACTGAGATATTTTTCTCTTCGAAGACTAGGTAATTCTTCCTTCTTAAGTATAAAAGAAAGCACAGTAAAATTGAAACTCAATTATATGTGTGTTCAGGCATATTACAGTATGAAGAAAGAAATCTCTAAGAGTAGTCCTCAAGTGTATCAGTAAACATTCAGAAGTGAAATAGGATGGAAAATCAGGAAAATAAAATATTGAATTAGCTGAAACCAAATTAACTACTCAGAGACCGATGTTTTCCAAATAAGATGTTTTGTTATAAAACTTATCATTTCCTTATTGATGCAATATACAAATTTATATTTTGTTACAGTTTCAAAATGTAATACTACTAATATTATTTAACTATGCTTAATTCATTCTCTCATACAATTAGAAATTTTCGCTTGATCTATCCTCCATTTTTAAAACTGGCGTTAGGAAAACTTTGCGCCAGAAACCTGCCTGAGCTACAAAACATAATTTTCAATGAATATTCTACAAAAATAATAATTATAAAGCACCATGTTGTGTTTATATTTTGATATATTAAAGTATTTCCTACAATACTAATGTTATGTTTTTATTCATTTGTTTAATTTTATAAAGGCTGTTAACAGAAAGATGTAGGCTTAGTAAATTATGCTAATAATATACTGTTTTCTAAAGTATATTAAAGAGAACGAAATCAGTAGCTACACCTAATCAAACATAGTTAAATTTTCTTGTTAAAATATTCAAAACAAACGCAGCTGAAAGCAAACCGTATTGATGACTAAAGTGAGCAGTTTACAAATTTTTCAGACTTAAGTTTCAGTGGCAAGTATTTATAAAAAAAAAAGAAAGAAAGAATAATGAAATGGATTCTAAACATTTCAAATTTTGTCTGAAACAAAATATTCTGTTACATTAAATATATTTCTAATCCAAATTGTGATGATAATGATGATGATGATGATGATGGTGATGATGATGGTGATGATGATGATGATGAATAGAAGGTTCTTATTTCTAAAATCTAAGTACAATAAAGAGTAAACTTACATTCATAGTTGGGCTTGCATCTTTTGTAAACCAATACTCTTCAGGAAAGCTAATGAGCGTTTAATGATTTTAATTTATTTGAATTTTGTGAACTGTAATTTTTTTGTCATTTGAATCAAATGTTTTATTTGGCGTATGTACCTCTATATAAGAATTGAAACTGTGGCACCAACGTAGGCTTCTCAATTTAATGTTACTACCCAAATCATACTAAACTTATGAATAAAATAAATATGCACTGTACAAATTACTAAAAGGCAGAATGATAATTTTGCTTATGTGATTATCAGTAAATAATCTATTACATCTGCAATAAAATTTTGAAAAATCGACATTAATGTCAGACTTCAATTGCCGGATTTTAAAAATTATAATACTGCTAACTAGTGTCTGGAACACTAACATGTTCGCCAATCAAGGAGAAGGCACCACAGGGATATAAAACTGCTAAGGTAAACAAAGATGCTTTTGTTTAATAATTAATATAATGAAACATAATTGCATCATACGTAATGCCAAATCTGGTATTTTAGAGTGCAAAAAATAAAAGAGAGTGTTGTGATTCCCAAACGCTTAATTCCAAATATTGAAACTTATTCTGATAGATGAGAAATATTTTGTTTAATGACATTTACCCGATAAATATGTCGTTGCAAGTCATAAAAAATGAATGCATTGTTCTGAATTGTAAATCAACAGTTTAAAAACCACTGGAGTGTTTAATCTTATCACATACTTTTTAACATATATTAAAAATACAATAGTTCTGGTAGTATTGCTATAATATAACAATTCATTCTCTAACTTGTAGCAATATTTTGGCATATTCTTCGCACCTTTATTGAAACATCGCTACGTTTTAGCTTAGAAAATACGCTTGTTTTTGTTCTTCAAAAGTTGAAAACAAATATCTTTCTGTTTCCGAATTATAAGGTGTACCAAAGAACGTAAACCAGTTTTAAGCCGTCACAAACATTTATTGCCTGCGATACACTTACACAACCTGTTTAATGTTAAATTTTAAACACAAACTCATGAAGGGGCTTACGCATAGGCACCAACTACCACCAAAAAAAGTCCGAATGGTAATCAAGTTTTAATTATGCTCGTTCAAGAATGCCCCGCATCGTTTATTCCAGCTGAAGGTATAAACTTCATGAAATACCAATGAAATTCTTCTTCTTCCTAATATCTGTAAAAAATGTTATATAAATCTCTCCTAAAACCATAAAATATATACTCCACAAAATCACGGACAAGCAAACATTTGCTTTTTGGGGAATCCTACAAGCATATCCTAACCTCAATTTTCATAATAAGATTCATTGCTTACACTAGACTTCGACACAAATTAAGATATTCCATATAAATGTTGAAAAGTACCTATGATTTAGGGGTAAAAATAGTGATAATAACAAACTGGTTGCCGCGGCAATGAATATGGTAGGCCTCTAGACATAAATTTAAAGTAAAATATTTCCTTTAAGGCTTAATTTCCATTCTATATGCTTATTTCACTAAACAATATTTTATATTCATATTGGAAACGTGTGATTAAGAACAGTATTGAAAGATACCTGTAAGTTTCTGTTTTATGTTTGAAACGACATGTTAAAAACAACAGCAGTTAATGAGTTTACAATGTTTTAAAATGTTAGAAATATAAGGCTCTATTTTCTCTTATTTGATGACTTTTTACTTTATTTATTCATTTATTTATTTTATTTGTTTATATCATTTAATTCATTTGCTTATTTTCAATTTGGAATGAAACACGTTTTTAATAAAGAACTAAATTCCTTACATACACATTACGTATCTATATACATAATTTTAATGTTGCACATAAGTATGTGATAATTAATTGTCACAGAGACTGGTTCACACAATTTTCACGATCACATGAAAATGCATTGCCACATTGTATTTTTTACAAATCCTTCTCATAAACTCCCACATGTGTTGCATTTTCATGCGCACTGATTTCGTTTCAAAATCAGCGTTTCTTCTATAAGATTAAATTACTCTACTACTTTAAAGACACCAGTAGTTTAAAAAATGATATATCTTGTCAGCTGCCTTCAGGTTAAATGATGAAAAAAATTTACATTCATTGGATAACATTTTAGACATCAATATTCCACATGCAATCATTCATTCTTAATAAAGTATAAACTCTTAAATAGTGACATGCTCATTGAAAATACAGCTGCGTATAAGAATGAATGTACAAAGAGAAAGCTGCACGAACGTTGGAAAAGTCTTGATGATTCTTCTCTGTCCTTTGAGCTGCTTTTAAAACTCTTAAAGAAAATTTCCCGAAACGTTGTGAAAATTAAAGTTTACTAATACTAACCTATTTTTCTGTAGATTATCTGAATCGTTAAGATACTTAACATCAATCCAAAAACGTGTTACAAATTTCATATTATATTTCATAGATTTTAATTTTAATAGCTAAATTTTACAGAAAGTTTTTATTTGCATTTAAAAAGGGATTTTACTCCAGAACTAAATACTTCTAATAATTAATTTTGAAAAGAGTGTAATTTTTAATAATGATAATTTATTTAGAACTCTCTTTGAAATACAATTATAAAGGTTCTGTCGTTTTAGGAGTAGTTCCTTTTCGTAGAAAATAATCAGAATTGCATGTACTATCAATGACAAGAAGTCTCCATATCCAACTATGTGAAATCAGATATATAAGATAAATAATATTTAAAAGTAAATTACGAAAATCTCTCAATTAGCCAACTGAAATTGCACAGATTTTCGCTAAAGTAAATATTAGTCTTATTAAATAAAGCATATTGAACTAAAAATATTTTTATTGTAACGTTTCTGCTAGCTTATGTTTTATTTAAATTTTAGATCTAAAAATATTACACAAATTAAGTCCTTTACATTTTGTTATTTCTAAATTACTTTTCAATATAAATTAAAACTAGGATTATAATTTCTGTACATAAGCTCACGTATGTAGTAATTTAATTTGTTTCTACAAATTCCGCATATTTTTATTAAAAAAAGTATTCCAATACAGTGTTTAAATGAATGAAAACGATGCCGAGTTTATCTTAACAAAAACAAACTAATATGTTTTTAAGTATTGCACTCATATTGAGCTTAAATGAAGCACCATCTAAATTCAGCAAATTTATGCTGTGTCAAATTTCCGCTTAATTCTAGCAGAAGAAAAATATTGCCTGACGTTTTCCTGAGATCCATTTCGAGAAATTTTCTTAAGAGATACTTCTTTTATCTGAAATTCGTGACATTTAAACATGCTGCACGAATTCAGGGTTGAGGAAGGAGAATCCAAAAAATTCTGTCTGATCAAGATTCATCATGAACAACTTGTCTGTCGGAGTTAGATCTGTCTTCTCACTAGTAAACTGTTTGTCAAAGTTGCTAACATCTTTCCTATGCTTCTGAAAAATAAACATAATCAAGAACAAAATTAGTCCGTAATGTCCATCAACGGAATGAAGCTCTTATTTACTTATTTATAAAGTGTATGAAAAACATAATGAAAAATCACAGTTATAGAAACAAAATCAAATCAAACATTATAATTTTAATGACAAATCAGAAATAAGCTAATAATTAATTAAATATCCACACACACACACAAAAAAAAAAAAAAAAAGTCCAAGGGCCAAAAAAATTGTTTCTATATATCACTTACTTAAAATTAAAAAAATTAAAAATGGCTATACACAATTTTAATAGCGAAATCAAAGTGAAATGCTTGCAGTCCATAAAGGTGAACGAGGAAAAGTCAAACATGAAAGAAAGCAATAGATGACAATCACGTGTCAAGGGAAACAACATTTTATGGAATTAATTTTCTATTTTTAATGTTTCTTGATTCATTTTCGGAATTCTGATGTTAAGTAGAACTATTTAACTAAATAAACTTCAAAATTTTTGTGATATACGTAGCGCGCAGAAAAGCTGCAAAAACGGTGCGAACGAGCATTCTTAAAATATTATTTTCATTTTCCGCTATTCACTTAAAAGTATTTTTAGAAACGAGTTTCCTTTCAAAATATTCTTATAATGTTGTTTATTGCGCTATCCCCTTAATATATAAAATTTTTCCTTAATATATAAGTTATTCCCTCCTAATATTTTTCTAAATGAATATTTTTTTAAATAAAACAGCGTAAGAAAAATTAACAATACAGACAAAAAACTCATATGTTACAGGGCAAGTGTATTTGAGCGAAGAACTAACGTTTGCAGCGTTGTACATTAACAACGTAATCGGGTTTTTGCATCTCATATAGCAGCTTCAGTATTGTAGATATTGCAATAGAACATTCACTTAGATTTTCTGGCTTATTTTTGAAAGCTGGTCACTTGGAGTGAGAAATAATTATTTTTAGGGCAAGAATTCTTCACGCCAAGAACATTTCAAATTTATTTTTGAAAAAAATTCGATGTCCATTGGCAACTTTATAGATGCACATGCTCTAACTGATAAATGTCATAAAAATATTATTATTTTTATATTCATTTTTATAGTAAATATTCAAAAACAATACACAATCGAATTCTTTTAGTAACAGTTACCTCTAAAGGCAACTTCCCTAGCATAGTAAACGAATAGTTAAAAGTCGATGTTGTTTACCATATGAATTGCTCACCTAGTTCTTCATTTAGTATCGAATACTAGATGTTTTTCAATATGAATTTGTCTTCCTGGATTATTTCTTTCTTTTGTAAACTTTGATACTTGTTTACTAATATCATATTTACAACGTCACTGATAACTTAAGAAGTTTGTTCTACTGTTCATAACAGTAAGATATACTTTTAATCTTTGAATTTACCCTATTTCTACTGTTCCAAAGTTTGTTGCAGTAGAAAATTAGTGTTCTCGTCAATTTAGCATTTGTGTACGGTTTAATGATTACGCAGCAGCGTATATTGCTTCAAATCATTGCTGCCACCAACCATTCCAGGGCGGTAAAAGATATTTATTTTTATATACAAAACAGTCCCTTTCTGTTGCGTATTATAATTGAGAAATGAAAAATATACATCTATTTAAGAGAATGTTGGATTATGAAATTACGAAAAAAAAATCTAAAAGATTTCAGATTTTAAATTACGTCTAAAGGGGCGTTTTTTAACGTTTTGTGTTGTAAGGACTATGTTAATTTTATTAACAGTTAAATTTTGAGTTCAACTTCCTGTCCTATCGCTTCTTAATTTCAACTTACCACTTCCGGCCAGAACGTAGTTTTAGAATCACGTCTGAAGGCTAATGAGAAAAAGCGGTATTTAACCGCGAATTTCTACTGTCTCAGAGAGAGAAATACCAGATATTCTGGCTAGCACGCGTCTGCCTTTTTAGGCTACTCTCTCGTAAGCAATTATTACGCTCGGCCGTACTTAAGCCCTTGATAGCTTCGCAGTGAATTATCGTTAAGTCTGTTATAATCTTGTTAGCTTCGGCAATATCTCTTTTTAGTTTAAGATTAGTTTAGTTTAATTCTTAGTCTCTTAAGTTGAAGCCCGAGTGTCGGCTTTATTGTACAACTCCACGTCGGAGTTCTGTTAAATCTTATTTGAATAATAAAGGGTCTTTTAACCTTTTCCAAGTTTTTTAGTGTTTCACGAACTCAAGCGAGTATTCGCTTACTAGTTCTTAAAATTCTTCACTTTCAACTGAGAATTACACAGTGGATAATTCTACAGTGTGTTACTTTTATTTATTAAATATCATGTTAACCACAAAATTCAGTGCAACAGCAATCTCACAAAATAATTTTAAAATAAGCATATCTTCAGAATTTCCGATACACAGTTCCGCCCGCTTAAGTTTTTTCCTTTTTTTCCTTTTTTTTTTTTTTTTTTTTTTTTTTTTTTTTTTTTTTTTTTATCCTGAAGAGGGTTGCCATTGCTCGCTTTTAAATCGTTGCGTTTGTTAATCAAAAATTCGTTAAGTTTTACAAAATATGAAATCGATAATAAAACAAATTCCAAATTTCAAATTTGAGCTTTCAGATGCCCATATTCGCAGTAGGATTACGTCATTCAAAACTGGATGGATGTAGGTACCGTTGTTTTATCACAATGCGAGAAACATACATGCATTTATGCAGATTCTTCATTATTTAATTTCTTCAAATATAATACAAGGCGATAGTATTTGGTGGCAACGATTTGAAAAGTGATACACCGTTTATAGGGTTCCGACGCAAAATCGCAAAAACAATAGTCCTTTAGAGGCAACGCCCCTTTGGTCTAAAAAGGAGTGATAGTGGAATTTATTTTCAAACGCAGTGAATATGAGTGTTGTTTTCTGGATGGCTTTTGTATACATGGAAATCAAGAAACACTCATTCTAATAAGACATCTAGAGTGCGTCACGAGGTTATGATTCATCATTTACATGTTTAGCGAGAGTTCACGGTTTTCTACCAGTATCAAAAATTCACGACTCTCTACTATAAGAAAACTAACGGGTATTTCCTCACTAACGTAAACGGCCAAATTGTGAAGTGAGTACAGAGCTCAAGAAGAAATTTGAATGCATAAATCGCGAGAAGAGAGAGCATTTAAAATGGGTTCTCACTTATCATAAGATGCAATTGCAAAATAAGTTTGTAAGCTCTCTTTAGAAAACGATCTTTAATTTACCTAATACATGCTTTTAACTTTAAAATAAGTTATCTTAATAACAGTTTCTGGGGTTTAGTATACAACAGATCGTCTACTTCCTTTTTGGGTCCAACTTGATTTGTTTATGTGTGTCTGACCAATGCTCTTATTTGAAACATTTGCAAAAATCTTATATATTTTTTTATCTTTGTTTTTTTAACTCATATTTCTAAACTAGATAATTAGATGGTAAAATATTAAACATGTACATGATAAAATTTAGTTGATCCGTGAATTTGAGCTTTAGAGCTGTACAGACATTTTTTTCGTTTTGTACATGCGTAATGTGAGTAAGATTCAGTTTTCATTAGAAAATCCAGACTTCATTAAAAAAAGACATACTTCCTAATTAACTTTAATTACTTTATTGTGCTTTGTCTTAAATGATTAAAACAAGGAAAAGAACGAGAAAATTTAGCAATCAAAATTTACCACTAAGGCGGATAGGACACGCAGGACATAAAGATGATGCTTTATGATAATAAGAGGGTATGAAGCTGACCATCTCAATTTTCCAATTTAATCCTTTTTTCTATTAGTGGTTTCTTAAGGATACTGTCTTTGTGCCTCCTCAACTAATCATCAATTTTTTGCAATTATATTCCCGATGTCATGGCTGTTTACGACCGCAACTTGCTGACAAGTATGTGAAACGAAATGGAAGGCCGTATAAGCTTGCGATGTTAACAAAGGTGGATACAAAAAGAGGTTTTGAAATATGTAGTGCGAGGGGGAATTACGAGTGTTTACCTTTATTTCAGTATAATAAAATTTGATATCGACTGTGTAGTTTGTTCGTTATAACTTTTAAAATGTTTCATAATTTTATGACTAATTCTGTCTAACTATCTGTTCCCACATGAAAATAATAATTAGCTAAATTATTTCAGCATTTTAAAAATTAATCATTTTCCATTTAGCAGATTACAACAAATAAATCAATGTATGTCTTTCAATAAAGTGTATCAGTGTAACTCCTTATTCCGAAATCAGACATTTACCACAATGTTTTCAAGAACAACTTTAAATTGCCTCACTTTAAATTGCTCTGTGTCAACTTTAAATTGCAATTTTATTCAAGCCATGCTGAAATTCCAAGCGAAATGAAATTATTTTGCTTTCCCCTCTCTCTACTGATGTAACTCAATTTAGCATCTATCAAAAAAACGGTATAGAAAATGTTTGACATCCAGCTTTCCAATTACTTTTGCAATAATTTAATATGAAATGTCAGCTGGAAATAATAAGCATCAGCAGGCATCTTATCCGTACTCATTAAATTTTCAGCTTCGGACAGCAGTTCATAACTGATGGATTAGTGGATTATTCAGTTATGGCAAAGCACACGAGGGCTATCTGCCTAAAGGGAGGGATGCCTTCGTGGAGGACTTTCTAAGGGAAACTGGCTCGTATACACGTTACACATGGGGAAAACCACGAAAACGCCCATGCAGCCAGCCCGTTCGCGGGATTCGAACCTCAGACCGAACTACCAGTGTTCAGCGTCTTTACCGCTCGGCCGCTGGTGGGCTCATAACTGATGATTGCTGATAATTTTCTGAAATGCTACTTCTTTCTATGCTTCTTATGATTACCTAAAAAAGTTTTGTTCTTAAAATTCATGTCATTTTGTCAACCGCTTAAAGCGTGTTAAGAAAATTTCATTTACTATTATATTTACTGATTTTTAAAAACAGCAATATCCCTCTACCATTGATATATAATTTACACGTTAAATAAATACAATGAAATACGT